CAAGGTAAATAAGGGTGACATCTAGTGGAGAAGACTAATGATAAGATTCACGTTAATCAGATCTTGTTTTAAATCAGCTGAAATAAATCCCGGAAAAGATCGATTCGCAGCTTTTGAGAATTGATATCGAATCGATGTCATTTAAAAAAAATGATTAATCGAAAAATCGATTTCACCAGTGACTGATAGTTTTTCGAGGACTCTTATGAGTGTAAAATGGACTTTCCGTAGATGTCTTTTCTCACTGTTTCTCCCAAAATAAAACTAAATATGAAACAAAATATATAAATAATCTAAATAATGAAATAATTATTTATAAAGCATATATTTAATAAATAAATATTTTAAATAAAATTAAATAACACATTTAACATGACCTAAAATAATACTTAATAATATTTAAGATTTCATACTTAATAATAAATTATATTTTTTAATTACAAACCCAAATCCAATGCAAACTACTTTTAGCTACTGAAAATAACAGTTATATGAATTTCTTGGAATTGTGTTTAAGTAAATTATTCTTCTTACCATTCCAATATAAATTCCAATTCTGTATCCTGTTGCCTACATCAATTCCAATTCAGTAATTTAATTGGAATTTAAAAAGCATCCTCAATTCAATTCTGCATGGCAAACAACCCAGCAAGACACGCATTTCGTTTATGCTTATTTCAATATTTACATCTGATGCTGCAGAGGGGCAAAGGACGGACGTAATTGGTCAGATTTCAACACATGCTGTGATGTTTACTGAGTAGAACAGGTTCGATCTTGCCGCAAGCTGTTCTTCCTTCTCTGTCCTCAGCAGCCTTCTGACAGCTTGTCAGCCTCACAGCTAATTATTCTTCATTTGAGCTTGTATTTACGCAAAGGCAGCATAACTTTTGGAAGTAATCAAACAGGATAACATGCACCACTGGATAGATGCAGAATGACTGCTAGCCTTCCAGGAAGTGAAGAGAAATCAGATTTGATTGATGAAGAGTTTGTCAGTTTCAGCCCTGCCTCCCATGGATCGTTCACAGTCTTTACAGCGACCACCTGATGCATTGTGCGCATAAAAATGGCAAGCGCTGACTGAAACTGCCATGTCAACTTAGATGGGCTGGGTTTCTCTAACTTCCTGATGAGTTTTTTTCCCACGATAATCTACTACCGTGGTATAATTTAGCACATAAAAACAAAGAAAGTGTATTCAAAGGCATCACATCTAGGTCTGAAGGTCTCTTCCTGTCTAAGTGGTTGGTTCTTGGCAAGAATAACCTGACCAGATTTTGTGCCAAAAGTTGATCAGTAGTTGCTAGGCTACATATGGCAAGATGTATAGATTCACAGTAAAGAACATGCGGGCAAGTTTTCACACTTAACATGATCAGGTCAAAGACTTTGGGTAGTTTTTAACCTCATATGAATGTACAGACCTTTGAAGAAGCAAAAATAAATAAATACCAGATGCAGGAAGGCCTTTAATGGCTTTTGAAGAGAGTCGGGAGAGAAGGTTTTGAAAGGCTTTCAAACACTTGCTTTGTAAAGGGTTGATCATTACATACTTATGTCACCGGCGTGGGCCCTGTTTGCTCAGAATACGACAGCTGTAATCCTGTAATCCTGATGCCGTGCAGCACAGGGGATTGACTGTTACACAAAACAACCCACATCTCACCTGCAACAGGTATTTCTGGCTGCCGTACATGACGTATTGCGGGGCCAGACTGTAGATCATGTAGCTGGTGTGGAGGATGATGAGGAGGAGGATCATGCAGAGGAAGAGGAGGGCCTGCGGTCGGGTTCTCTGAGGCCTGATCTTATACAGCTGCACAAAAAGAAACAAAAAACATCCTAATATTACTCATATGCACGAGTATTGCGAGTCTACAGCACTCTAAACTGCAGAAATGCACTTTACAAATAATGTTGCATTCAGAGCAACAAAAACAAGGACAGATACAGCAGAGTTGCAATAATGGATACTTTAAAAACATAGAGGGTCAAAACAGAAATTAAAAAATTTTTCCTAGTAAAAGGTATAGTTATGGCACAAAGGATAATTGTTAAAATGAATAATCAGAATTTCTAAGCCAGGAATTTTGGTGCATTACTAAGGCACTACACAATTCTTGCCCAATAGTTCATGATGGATTTGTATTCGTATTGAAAAAACAAGTATTATAAAATATTACGTTTTTTGTTATTAATAAATTAAATATTTATTGTTTTGCACAGTATATCAATATTTTTTTCAGTTTGTATATACGGTGCAACAATCATCATATTTGAATGATTTCTGAAGGATCATGTAATCAAGGAAAATGTAATTTAATCACAGGAATAAATTACATTTTTTAAATATATTAAAATAGAAAAGAGTTATTTTAAATTGTAAAACTATCCCACAATATTACTGAATTGTAAAACGATCCCACAATATTACTGTTTTCACTGTATTTTGAGCACATAAATACAGCCTTGATGAGCTTTCCATACTTTTGACAAGTACTGTATAAGGTTTAACATACTGCATTTTTATTGTTGGTATATTGTATGAAATTATAAATATAGAAATTATAAATTATAGAAAAAAGGGGAATTACTAATATTTTTTCTGTAATGAAAAACAAAGTATTATTTTTAGGGATGCGCCGATATAATTTTTTTGGGCCAATGCCGATACCGATTTTAACAAACACTTCTTGGCCGATTCCGATACCGATATTTGTCACTTCCTCTCTTATTTGAAATTTTGGCAACAAAATAGATAGTATTTTGATCATGTTTTAAATCAGCAAAGTTCAAAAACACCTGCATTCAATTATACTAGCAGTTTTATTGCTGCATCATCAAATAATTTCTAATGAACATGGATTGGATCCATTTAACATTCAGCAGGCCTACATAAATACAACAGAACAAAGATACATATTAAATAAACAGTGCTTTTTGGGTAGGTTTAACAGTTTTCAGGTACAGAAATAAAGTAAACAAATGTAAAATGACACTTCACTGTATAAATTAAATACATATTAATCCTTCTTTATTGTAACAGACTTTATTATGATTAATCTTCTAATTTGTTTTTGTATACATTTTAATATTTTTTGTAAGTTTAAATATGTATGAGATCTCCTTTACTAAGGCGGGACTCTTATTTTGACGGGGTTTCTAGTCTACAGAGCTACATGGGTAATGAAAGCACGCAGTTCTTCGGATTTAAAGTTTGTCAGTTTATTAAGCACCCCCCGAAAAGGCATGAGATCTGTATATATTTGTTTAATGTTAGTTGTAATAAATGTTTTGTGTAATTCGCTGTATGTTGATGATAATGCAACTGAGAGAGAGAGTTTAATGTGCACTTCTCATGCTGTGTTTTGTTTAGCTCTTATGGTGATTTTTTTGGAGTGAAAAAGGACGCAATAAACATAATAAAACATCAGTAAAGTTTTGGTCACCATTCAGATGAGGTCCGCTACACTTATGAAAGTTACAAACGTTATTTAGTCAAGAATAGTGTGCGATCTTTGTCTTTTGTTATTTGCAAAATAATTATTTGTCAGCATTAAAGTGCAGACAGCAGCGCTAGGATTATGCAACAGACATTATACAGCTCAGTGCCTTCACGCAGTTAATTAATAAACCATTATAAATAACAATAAATAAACCAACTTATATAGCCGATATGCCGATGGTTGTAAATTGAGGAAAAATCAGCCGATAAATATCGGCAGCCGATACATCGGTGCATCCCTTATTATTTTTAATTAATGTTAAATATGTATTATATAAAATATTATGAATTTAATTTACACATAAACACATAAATCAGCATATAACTTCTAAAATAGTATAAAAAAAAAAAGCAAGAACGTTTTTAAAAGAAAGAGGAAGTTTTTGCAGCCCCAGTGTACTTAAATTTTGCCTATACAAACTAAATGGCCAAAGTTAATCATTAAAATTCAATACAACAACACTCGCGCCAAAATAAAAATGTTTAATGAAGCAGGTGACTGAAAATAGGAAAAAAACACTGTAGTAACTCACCCTTATCCAGAAGAACCAAATCCCCATGTTACGGATCCCAGCCATGGAGGTGAAGACAAAGTACATGGTGATGATTGTGATGAGAACATAGTCCAGCGGGAAAACCTGAAGAAAGACGAGAAATCCAAGCAGTTTTGAACGACAACTCCAAAAAACTCAGAAGTCCATGATCTAGTTCAACCATTCACCAGGTCTACAATGCAGTCTCTATTCATCCACACACAACATACACTTTTCAGGCCTGAGTGTCAACTAAGAACCATTACCCTGACAATGAAGATGGCTGGAAGGCCATGACAGTGTTGTCCACCCTTACTGCTTTTTTCTTTGTGGACCAGAGTGGATTTCAGAGTAAGAGATGCATGTTTCACAAAGCACACAATGCTGGAGGCACAAAGGATATATATATACACTCACACTCTCAGCGGTGGCCTAAAACACTGTCACTCCTGTGCTAGAGATGTATCGCTCCACAACTCTGAGGTGATCTTTCAGCAATCCTGACTATTTTCAATGCATTTCATCTCAAAAGAGCCACAGCAAGTATATGACAGCACTGTTTGAAAGTCAAGCTAAAAATGATCCTCCTGTTCCTGGAAGAGCTGTTGGCTCGTGGAAATGGCAATGCCTCTTCCGTTGGCAGCTTGTCCTCCATAACTCCACTGGAGCGGAAATGCTGTTTTTGCAATGAGCTAAACACACACTGACCTTACCTGTTGCCCTCATATCGCAGACGGAATATGGTCAGTGACATCATGAAGTACAAATTAGAAATGTTTCTAGAAGCATGAGCAATAACTCCCCGGCCTGCATGCTTTATCCTTTTGCAAATTACTTTTCTTTTTCCCTTTTCACATGGCCTAATTGCAGAAATCAATGGTCTGGATTCCTGAACAATTTGGTTTAAATCAAGCCATCTCTCAAAGTAGCGAGTGAAACAAGTGATCATATTTTATTCAAGCACATGGAAACTGATCATTGTGCTACTTGAAGAAGATTGAAGGATTTGAAATCTCTTCCAAAAGCACTAAATGATGAAAAGCGAACTTATGTCTGATTCATAAATAGCGCTTAATTCAGAGGTCATCACACCTTTTTATGCAGCAAGCGGCCACAGACTACGGACAGGGTGACAAACTGTTCAGTGTCTTTTATTTCATTTCAAAGATTTGGACATTGTCGTACTTGCAGATTGTGGTTCAGCGTCACCACCTTTCCTGGTTTGTGTTTCGAGCAGCTATGATACATAAATGCAAACACAAATGAACTTGAAACTACAACTGTCCAGCATTATGAATCTAAGACACACAGCCTTGAAATGAGCTTAAAATCTGATTGAAGTGAATGTTTATTCAGACCCAGTGGAATGCATATCTAAATGCTGCTAATTTCTTTGGGGTAGCACAAAAACTTGGGAGTATGGTCACAATTTGAAACTGTCTCACAACACAAAAAATAAGTGAGTGAAAAAAAAATTATGTTGAAAAATTATGTTGAGCTTCAATGTCCATACAAATCAATACTACATTCAAATCTACCCACTACTAATTTATTCTTTGAGAATGTTTTACACTCAAGCAATACAACCTAATTAGAGGAAGTAAACTGCTATTGATGATGAACACTACCTGCCAAAAAAATGTTCGTATTGAGTAAATTTATGTTTTTCATGAAACCTTTTGATCGGCCAAAAAACTAATTGTGCTGACATGCACTACCATTCAAAATTTTTTTTTTTTTTGAAAGAAACTAATATTTTTTTTCAGCAATGATGTGTTAAATCAATCAATTTTGACAGTAAAGCCATTTGTAACAAATTAACAAATTACAAAAGATTTATATTTCAAATAAATGTTGTTCTTTGAACTAGGCCTGGGCGATAAAACGGTATCGATATTTATCGACGGTACACCTTCTTCGATAACGATAGAAAAAATGTTCGATATAGGCACGTGCTATGAGTGACGCACACAGCACACACAAACACGAACACATGCTGAATTGAGTGCTGTGCCTGCCTGTGATGAGGAGATTGTAAATAAAGAATGCATATTAGTCGAATTTAAAATAAACATTTGGAATGTTAGGTGTGTATCAGGGAGCGTCATCAGTGGCGCGCGAGATGCGGTGATGATGTAAGTGACGTTGTTGCATTTTAATGTTTTGTTAGTCTAGCCCACGAGACGCGCGTTATTCATTCAAAATATTCGAGAAATTTTGAAGCTCAATGCGGAGAAGATCTTGATTAGGTTAAAACCGAAACCAAGCCATTCACACAGAACGCATATTCAGCGCATTTTTTGACTGACAAATATGACTGCTGCACTCGCGTCTCACA